CGCAACCGAACCGCCAAACCGCGAACACCCCTAGTAATATAAGACTTTGTGTTTTCAATTTGTTTAAATATTCTATTTGTGTTTTTAATTGAAAAAGAATTTAAATATTTTGTTGAAAAAAAGTTTTCAACTTGAATATATTTTTTGAATTGAAAAAAATAAACATATTATTTATTTATATTTTTTTGTTTTTAAATCTAATTCTAAAAATAATAAATAGAAAATATGATATATGCTGGTTGGTTTTTGTTTTCAAAAACATATATAGATGTAACAATACAGAGATATACAATCTCTACTACTGCTCTGTTCATGGTTTTGGTGGTTTGAATTATTTTTATATTTTAAGAACCACAGATTGTAATACTTTATGTGAATGAGGCATCCTGTGATTGTAATATGTGGATGAGGCATGCAGTGATTGTGATATTCTAAAGTTTAAAACTTTTTTTCTTTAAATGAGGCATGCAATAATTGTAATATTTTTTTAAGTCATTGATTGTAATACTTTCTTTTTTTCTTTTTTTTTTTGAAGGAGTGCACAAGTTGAATTATGTTGAAAATTTATAAAATTTTAAACCGCTAAACCGATTCGCATCCATCCGCCAAACCGTCAATCCGCTCAATCCACATCCCCCGAATTGGCGGACGGATGCGAATTGATTTTCTCCAATCCGCCAATCAGGCGGACAGATAGCGGATTGGAGGTTTTGTAGCCGCAACCGACCCGCGCCCACCCCATACTCTATACTTTATATATTTATTATGTAATTTTTTTCTCAAAAAAAAGTAGAACATTTGTTTGGTTAACTAAATTTTTTTTTCTATAAAATACAATTTTTTTTCAAAATGTCAACATAATTGTTTAAAAAGTATTCAGTGTATTTGGTTTGAGTTTTTTGGATTTAGTTATTTGAAAATTGAGTTTTTTTATTTTCATATTTTTTTTTATTTTTAGTGAATATTTTTAAAATTTTAAACATTTTTTTTTTTACTTTTTTAGATACACCTTAGTTAGATGTATCTAAAAAGTAAAAAATTTGGAAAAAAATATTTTAAAAAATTAATAAATACATAAAAATACAAAAAATGTACTGAAAAAATATTTTTGTAATTTTAGTATTTTTTCAGAAAAATGTACTTAAAAAAATATGCACAGTGAAAGCGTACTCAAAAAATGTACTCAAAAAATATTTTTTCAACAAAATGTACGCCTTTAAAATGTACTAAAATATTTTAAAAGCGTACATTTTTTGAGTGCATTTTGCTGAAAAAATTAATATTTTTCTGAAAAAATACTAAAAATATAAAAATATTTTTTCAGTACATTTTTTGTATTTTTATGTATTTATTAATTTTTTAAAATATTTTCTCATAAATTTTTTACTTTTTAGATACAAATAATTAAGGTGCATCTAAAAAAGTAAAAAAAAAATGTTTAAAATTTTAAAAATATTCACTAAAAACAAGTACAACATAATTGATGTTATCTGGTTATTAATTTTTTCAGTACATTTTTTGAGTACATTTTGCTGAAAAAATACTAAAAATACAAAAATATTTTTTCAGTACATTTTTTGTATTTTTATGTATTTATTAATTTAAAAAAAAATTTCACAAATTTTTTACTTTTTAGATACATCTAACTAAGGTGTATCTAAAAAAGTAAAAAAAAAATGTTTAAAATTTTAAAAATATTCACTAAAAACAAAAAAAATACGAAAATAAAAAAATTCAGTTTTCAAATAACTAAATTCAAAAAACTCAAACCAAATACACTGAATACTTTTTAAACAATTATGTTGACATTTTGAAAAAAAATGTATTTTATATAAAAAAAATTTAGTTAACCAAACAAATGATTTACTTTTTTTTTGATAAAAAAATTACATAATAAATATATAAAGTATAGAGTGAAAAAAAAGAAAAAATAAAAAAGAAAAAGGAGAAAATATTACATCAATGATGGCCCCACTCATGGGAGCTCCTTTAAATATTTTTGTTCAAATAACGCCCTATGTTTGGGATGTGAGTTTTGTGGGGTTTTTTTTTTTGGGGCTAAAATAGTCATAAAAAATAAAATAAGTTTTTTAGTTTAATAAGATAAATATCGCATCTAACCCATAATCATTACATTCTTTTTCTCATAAAAAAATCAAAAAAACCAAAAGTTCTACCCAAACCAGACTTTTTAGCCCAGATTAAAATAGCCAAAAAAAAGTCAAAAAACCAACCCACTTTCCAAACGAAACCAAAAAGTTTTTTTTTTAATTCTTGTTTAAATTTATGATCAAAATTTAATTTTAAACTTTCGTTTGCAACGTGAGTTAGCTTTTTAACCATAAGAAATTAATATTTTAAAATGGAAAGGAATAAAATTTATAATCTTCATAATTAACAACAGATCCATCGAGGGTACATATACCACTATATAGGTTTATTTTAAAAAATTAATTAAAAATTAATTTTTAACCTATTTGTGTTGTAATCAGCCTGCAAAGAGGAGAATCCACTAATTTCTCTCTCTCTCTCTCTCTCTCTCTCTCTGAATATATATCCATTAAAAACAAAATGACAGAGGCATTGGTGATTGCGTCACCAAGTAGCAAATTTTCCGAATCTTTTAATACACACTCCGCATAGTGCAACTGGTGATTATGTCACCGAGTAACAAATTTTTCGAATCTTTAACATACTCCACATAGCACAAAAAAAAAAAAAAAAAAAATGAAAAGTCAGGGGGGCACGTGACCCCCTTGCCCCTACATGGCTCCGCCCCTGTTGGGGTGGATTGAACCCGCACCTCTGCCAAGCATAACAATTGCACTACCATTTGAGCTACAAAGAACTCAAGTCTTGCTTTGATCACATTTTAATATATATTAAAAGTTTTTCTTAAGGAAATAATTCTGCACAGTGAAAGCGTGGTTTGAAATTACGTTTTTTCAGAAAATAAAATTTAATTATAAGCACAGTAAAATCATGGTTTGGAACTGCGTTTTCTGAAGAAAATTTTTTTTTGCTTAAAAGCGTGCTTTCTAACCACGTTTTTTGAAGAAAAAAAAATTATGTTAAAAGCATGGTTTGTAACCACGCTTTCTTAATTAAAAGCGTGGTTTGTAATAGCGCTTTCACTATTCATCACATTTTCGGCTCTAAACAATGAAAACGTGATTTGTAATAACACTTTAACCTAATTTGAGATTTCTGTCCAAAATAGACCTAATTTAAAAATTAAGATAATAAATTGACTTAATATAAAAAAATTTAAAAATTAAGATAATAAATTGCCTTAATACGAATAAAGCCCCTTCGGAAAAGCCCCCAAATGATACGCCAACATTTGTTATTAAATAATTTAGACAGAGAATATCCTACAAAGTATCCGGAATCAGTTGAGAAGTCAACATGCTCTTTTGAAAAAATTGAAATTTTAAAAGCTACCCACTCAAAGTTCACTTCATGTCTTGATGATTCTCCAAAACCCATTTCAATCACTCTTCTCTCAAATGCATTCAACTCTTCATCAAGGTAATATGCTCTCTTCAATAATGCCGTCTTTCTTCTGCAAATTTGCTTGTTCTAGTTTTAGCTGTCATGAATTTCATATTTATTGGAAACAGAAAAATACAACCCATTACTGCACCAAATCATATATATATGCCTTTTTCCAGTTGAATGCCCACAAGTGAGAAAGTTGGGTATTTGTGGTTGGAATTTGTTTGACCAATCAAATTGATTGTACTGAATCTAATTATTTAGTATCCCAAAAATTGATTTCTCTTCAATATTTAGGAGCATAACTTTGAAATCTTTCTGCGTTGTTTATCTTCACAGTATGGAATCTTTGCTGCTGACAAAGTTATGGAAGCATGAAAAGAAGAAACCTTTTTATTTATTTATTTACTTTTATTGAACTTATTCATTCATTTTGACTATCATTTCATATTTTATCATATTAAATTCTACTCTACCTTCCTGGAGTTCATTCTCCGAGGAACTCTGTTTAAATTATTCTGCTGAAATCATATAAAGACAATTCTTATTTAGTATAGCTATTTACACAATAATTTGATGATTAAGAAGCATCTTGTCGAGTGTTAGGTCTAAATGGGTTTTCTATTGGTTCAAATTCGCGTTTAGGAGCATCATTTTTTTATGTTGAATTAGGTGCATTCTGCTATGTTAATTGGAATGTTGGTATGATACTTTGATGAAGCTACCCTTGTCATAGAAAAAATTATCTCCTCAAAATACTAAGAAATGGGAATGGAAACCATTTTTTTTACTTCATGTTGAGGGTGAAGAATATGGCATTAACAAAGAATCAGTCAGTCGCATGACATGAAGAGAAATGGTGGTTTAATTTTCAATAGCCAGTTATCGAACTTATTTCCTCCAGCACTAAAGTTGGATAAAATTTTACCCAATTGTTTGATCCCCCTGATAATGCAATGCTTGATTTACCTTCCGCATCAAGTCTGTCTTCTTCTTTGAATCACCACTTTATCTCAGTCTCAATGTTGAATCTTCAACTACGGAATTTTCTCATGAACTCAATTAAGCTAAAAGAATATGAAGTACAGACTCAATGGAATGAAATTGCCACAAAAATGATGAAAGGGGGTAATACTCATACTCATTTTCCTAACAATGTTGTCATTGGAAATTCCTATTTGCTATGCGAACTAGATCATGAATAACAAAAAATATTCTCTTGTTCAAAGTAGGCTTTGAATTGTTTGGGCTTGATGTATTTATTGAACTTGTTGGGAAACTGACTAAGGAAAAAAGTTTATGATGCTCATTATCTCTACTTACAGGAGTTAGCGCATTTGCTAATAATGGTTATTAAATATTCCATATTAGAAGTTGATGTGTGAGTCAATGATTCCTACAAACATTTTGGAAGTGGAATTTACTACACATCCATTAACCCAAAGTGTTAGTCTTTCTAAACAATTATTCTAGGGAAGTGCTGGATATGCTAGGTGAAGAGTATTAAGGTATTATTACTATGGGAATTAATGTACAAATGAGGGTAGTCTGTGAAGTGATAAGTATACTATGGGAATTATTATAGAAATGAGGGTCATATAGTCTCTGAAATTATTTAAGTCTTGCCTCTAGCTGACTTAGCTTGAGTTGTATTGTCAGATATTCTATTATTTATAAATATTGAAGTCATTCAACATTTTTTCTAATTATTCACGAGATAACTGCTTTAGATTCATTGGCTTCAAATGTATAACATGCATTTCTGTACTCATTTTCACTCTTTTAACCTTCTTTATATTTTCCCTGAAGTTTTTGCTGAAATCCCTACCTTCTACTAGCATTTCAACAACTCCATTGGCTATCAGTTCCATATGAATTATTCATAATTAAGATAATACCTATATATTAATGAGGAAAGGAAGGCCAAAGTGTTAAAATCGTTTATTTTACACTTCAACTGAAGGATTTTCCTGTATCCTTTTATTCTTATCCTGGAAGATGTAACACAGCAAAGTTACCCATATGTAGACATAAAATTTTAATGTCATAGCATTTCAACATCATGATGGGAGGATGTAATCACTGTAGATACCAATTAATTGTTATTAGAACAGAAGTGCATGCTAGAACATTCTTTGCTTTTGCATTGAGTAGGTATTTCATTAGATCCTGAAAACAAGTGTTGCTGTTCTCTTAATGGTTCTTTGACTGTTATAAAAGTAAAAGTAATCATATGATAACAATATTAATCTAGTGCAAGGTAAAGAGTATGTGAAAAGAATTCATGATATGACTCCTTCAATTTTATGCATGTTACTTGACGTTTAGTGAGGTCACAACCATTTTCCTCATTTGTTTAAGTTTATTGTTGTTGGAAAACTATTTAGTGTTGGAAATGAAAGCCCATGTCTAGGATCTAAAAGTTGCATATAAGCATACTGAGGTGCCAGCTTACCCCCAAAACTGAAATAGTAACATTGAATGGATTATATTTCAATGAACATATTCTGTTATCAACAAAAAGAATTGATTATCCTAGTAGTTAGTAAAAAAAATGTTGTTTTGAGATGGATGAGAAACACTTTTCAAGATCTCAAATCTTTACAAAATATCATATTCTCTTAGGTTTTTTAGAAAGGTCTCTCCAATGACTGAGTCAGCCTTGACGAAAATGGCAGGATAGCCAATTGGAGCTTCTACCCAAGCTTCAGAACCTTGTTTCGTGTATAGATTTCCTGTCCAAATATGTTTCCAAGAACAACTTTCTCCTACGGGAAAATACACCTTCACATTCTTTTTTCCTTTGTCTAGAACAGGCACAACTAATATCTCTTCACCAACCAAAAATTGCTCATAACTCAAGCTATGCACATGTTCGTCATCTGGGTAATGAAGGAATAGGTGGCGACAAACAGGCAAGCCTTTCTGAGAAGCTTCCTGTTTTAAAAAACAAACACATGGTCTTAGATTCATCAGTGCAACTGCAACGTTATTCAATAATTCATGCAAAGAATGTCTACGAAATTCTGTCTCACCTTAACAAGTTGGATCCTGTAAAACTTCCAAGCTTTATACACTTTTGCAAGCCGTGCAAAATGTGATAAAGTCTTGTGGTTTGAGTAAAACTGGCTGTTGCTGGCTGGTTTATTTCCCTGATAGGAAAATGTTAACATCAGAAACTTGTAGAATCAAACAGGATGGTCTCTTCAAGGATGGCATTTCAAATTGAAATCATGGGTTAATATATTTATTTTATTTTCTAGGTTAAATGGTGTTCACAAGGTGTTAGAGAATTTCATGCATAATATGGGAGTTTAATGCATGGTTTTATCGTAAATTCGAATTACTAAAAATGCTTGTTGGCTTATTGTCCAACTACACATGTCAAACACATTATTTCATATCCTTACCCTAATGTTAAGTGTCTAAAACTAGTTCATACATTTAGAAGAGTCCATGTAACATTAATATCTATTTATGAATTTTAAAGCTAGCTTCGAAATGTAACTCGTGACATGCATCAGGGAAAGTGCAATAATGCAAGTCATGGATTTTTCTTAAAGAAAATTTCATGTAAGAATAAGTTTCCATGATGAAGCCTTTATATCAGGCTTCACAGAAGGGGAAAAAAAACCCTTTTGCAGATAATTGGAATTTAAGAGATTAATACCACAACTAGTTCTAGAAGAAATTCAGACTGTTTTGGTGTTTGAGATAGCATAAGAAGTGATGGTTGTGGAGATTCAAAATTCTATCTTTAAAGGTACATCCTCCGCTAGTATTTTTATGTTTCTTTCTGTCCCTAATATGACATATGAAGAATGTTACATGGACTCTTCTAACTGTGAGAAGTTCTCTTGTTAGATAAGTAGCATGCGAATGGGTATAGGATATATTTCTAACCTTTCTGGTAAGGTGTAACTAGCAAGCATCTCTGGTAGTTGAAATTACTACATAATTGTACATCAAACTCTCACTATGTTCCTTCCTTACATAGTTGCTTCAAAATGAGTGAAATGCTTATTTTGAACACTATGTTTTATAAAACACCTTTTTACCCTAGGAATATAGATTTGGATATTCAGAGCCATCCTGGTGTTGTTGGGATAGGGTATTAAAAAACTCATAATCTTAGACACATACTTACATTCTAGACATGTCCATGTAATATAAAATATAAGATAGACCATTAAAAATTATGATTGTGATATTAGAAGACATTCTAGAGGTCATGACCTGGAGCAATAGCAAGTGTTATTCGCCTCCAACACCATCGTGCAGGCTTGAGTCACTAGAATCAACCTATCTACCATCTCTCCCATACCCTACTATAAGTAGGAGTTTTGTGCACTAATCATGATCTTTTTATGTTGGCATTTCTCTGCCCGTTGTTTCCAATGTCAAAGCAGCTAAAATTGTTAATTGCTAGGGGTGATAATGACTTACCTCATGGGTGCGGAAGACAGTTGTAAATGCATTAAGTTCCATCCATCGCAGAAGCAATTCCTCACTTCTTTGATACTTGAAAAAAGGTAAGTTTACAGCACAGTAGCCTCCGATATCGCTGTGATTGAAAGCATACCCCGAAATACCGCTGCTCAACAAGCCAACAACAGAACTCTTTATCCCATCATTAGCCTGCCAACTCACCATTTGGTCGCCTTCCCAGAATAGCATTCCCCATTTGGGGCTGTCCCTGAAACCAGCCCTCATGAAGAAAACCAAGGCCTCTTCTGGGTCTTCGCTCTCTTCACCCGAACAGTTACTTTTCCATTCTTCCACAAATTCCCGGTTTATTTTGGCCCATAATTCTGGATATCTGTTATGGGCTGAGATGGGATCTTCACCTAAAGAATCATCCTGATTAGTTTTGGTACATGTACAATTGTTTAGAGAAATAGTAAAAGAACTTTGCATGTGTGTGTGTGTGTGCGCGCATGCATATTTATTGTCCTTCTTGTTTGCTTGGGGTAGTGAATAATGAAAGATAAGTTGAAGAAAATTTTATTTCTTTTAGATCTGAAATAACTCTTTTCTTTATGCTGCTGTACTTTCTCTCATTATATCTTCGTTCAAGTCTGAGGAATGAGTTTGATAATTTTGACATCCATGTGAAGTTCAAAGATATATAAAACTAAGCACTATAACTGTGTAACTAGTTCGATAGATGTTGATGTTTGAGTCTTGGAAACATTACAAAATAAAGTCATGATGCCTCAAGCTATGAGCAGCTTGTAGCGGGATGACAATATTTTGCTTTTCAGTATTTAGAAGCCTCGCACATTAAGACTTCTTGGATGATTTCATTCTTCTATACAAATTTCCTTTATAGAGAAAGTAGGAAATGGGTACAATTCAAGCAGGTTGTATTGTTCTACTACATGCATCATGCAAGTCTGGATGTGATCTTACATGCTATATTTGTTTGCAGGATTGGATTAAAGGGAATTAGTAATCCCTTGGGATAATTCACTGGATTATACATACTATTTATGAGACTCAATTTGTTTGATAGGATTTCTTTTACTATGTTTGATTAGGGTTGGATAAAGTGGGACCAATTATTTCTGACCATTGGATGGTATGCTAGAGATAATCTAATGCCAGGCCTTATTGCAGCATAACTAACACCACTGGATTGGTCTTAGTTACCACACAAAGTGCAGGATCACTAGTTTGGACCATTTTTTCACAACCAGAAATGGGATTATGCAAGCCCTATTGGGCCATTAATCTCATATTTTTATCTTGCAAGGAAACATAGATATGGCATATGTTGGTAGAATTCTTGCTAGTTCAAAAAGGAAGTCTGAATGTCAAACCTGAATAAAGGGTGGCATCCACAGGAAGGCCTTCACCAAAATCAGCCATCCATCCTCTGACACCATCATCCACCATTTCCTGTAAAATTTGCTTGAACCAACTTGCCGTGTGCGGGTGCGTCAAATCCAACATTCCCACATCAAAAGCTGTATTGGGAACCATGTATGGTTCACCATTCTTGTCTTTGATTAAGATATCCAACTCCTTTGCCTCCTCATAGAGGTTTCTCCTTCTGTTTGGCTTCTCATCCATCTGCCATAGCAAGTGTACATGTCAGAAATTAACAATCAACGCGTTTATCATATGCTGACTGATATGTCCCCAAATATAACAATTTCGAGAAAAAAAAAATTAGAAGAGCATTAGTAGGGTTGAAGATAAGCACCAGAGCTAGGCAAGGGTTGCAGTATGTCATCACTTTAATATGCTGAGCACTAAGATGTCTAATTAGTTGCTGCCACCCAAAATACCTCATTGTATCTACTTCCCAATTCCACCAAAGCTGTGATCCAATTACTGTGTTCCTCTGACCTACCCAGTCCTGCATATAACAATTACAATAGAGTGAGGCATTATGCTTGTTGCTTTAATTTTAATGTTTTGTCCTTTATGTATATATGGTTAATGGTTATTTTCATAGGCAGATTTTTTCTTTTAATATCAATTTCGACATTAGTTTTGATATGGAAACAAATCAGGTTCCTGAATTTATTTTACATTTTTTTTTTCCCTGGGAGGAAGTTGAGACTTATATGGCTTAAAATAGACAGTATAAAGGTTTTCTAAACTTTTTTCTGAATCAGTACATAAAATAGAGAGAAAGAATTTGCATGTCATTGATAGTGTTATTTCATATATTTTCATGTAGGTACATGCATTACCTGTAACCAGAATGCTGAAACGGGGACATCGTAGGTCTGTAGTTTGTCCCAAACATCTCGTACAAGATCTGTGCCACCCTGCATTCCAACCACGGCACCAGATATAATCCACTCAGGAAGCTCTGGTGGTCTTCCGATGACTTCTGTGAATTGTTCAATAAACTCCAAAGGTGAATTCCCATGCAATATCCTACCTTGAATAGAATCTCCATGCATCTGCAAACATACCCAAAACAATGAAAATGAGAAACTGATACTATGCAATTTAAATGGGAAAATATTACAGACATTAACCTTTTTCACTGCCTCTCACAATAGAGTGGGGCCTATACCATGTGATGTGTGGGCGCGCCTCCATTGTTAAGGGCAGTCAAAAAGTTAGATTTCACCTACCCATTTTTCCTTTTCGTAAAATGTCCTCTTTTTTTAATTGAGTCTATTTTTTTAATCATGTATTGGTTTGCTTTTCGTTATAATCATCTGAAAATTCGGTGCTTGATTTTCATCAGCTGATTTAACTCCAAAGTGGTAGAAAAAAGAAGTAAAAACATCCAAGTGTTACCTGTATCTGAACTCTGTCATGTTTTGTTAGATCGAAAACTGAATAATTGTATCCTTCAAGGTACAGAGATTTCATTTTCGATGTTATATAGAATGGTGAAGGAGCGTAGGTTGTACTCCAATCTCCGCCAGCCCTGCATTAGATAACTTTTTCTAAGTACAACAATCCTAGTGATTAATAATTAAATGCTAGTGATTCAAAGACTAGAATTTAGTCTTACCTGTAGCTAACCAAGTTAGCAGCAAAGGTTATTGGTTGATCTCCTCTTCCAATCCCCTGCTCTTGAACAAAAATAGGAACCCTTTTTCCTTTGAAATCCATGTGAGAAAACTGCTCTCCAAAACCATAAAATCTCTCATTTTTTTCACTTGAATACGTAAGACAGACCCTGTTGAATTCCACGCATTCAACACCATTCATTATCACATTTTCTTGATTTGTTGATGCAGCTGCTACAACAGCTGTTCGCTTTAAAAGATGCCCAGACCAACCAAGTTGACGCCTCCTAAACTGGCTCAGCCTCCGCGAAAAGCCCTGGTGAGTTCCATGACTTCTTGGTGAAATGCTTTGTTGTGATTCAAAATTGGGTTTTCCAAGCTTCACTTCAAACCCAATTTGATTGCTGGTCTTTTGATCAAAGAAAACCCAATACCTTGCAGAAACAAAAGGTTCATTTTCCAAAACCTCTGACTCCTCATAGATTCCAGAATTTTGAATTTTCTTTTTCACTCTGTTAACACTGAAAATCCTACCTGTAATTAACAATACAGGGAATTGGGTATCATTTGGATTTGTTTTTTTATCATACCCAGATGACAAATCATTGTCTTCTCCCTCTAGGCTAAGATCAGATTGGTTAATCACCTTTATATCTTCGACAGTTTGATGATTACATACCAAATGAACATATTTGTCTGTGATAACAAATGATCCCCTGCTTTCTTCAACCTCTGTTTCAGCTAATGCCGCAGAGACAAAGGCTTGTCCAGGGATGGTAGACCATATGGGTCTGTTGGGCTGAGATTGATGAGAAATTGAGAGAGACCCACCATTCTTGGATTGCCAAGTTAACTGAAAATTCTTCCCAATGCAAAAGATTTTTTGTGAAGGGAGTGTTGGGGGATTGAAAGATAGAGTTCCTTGAATACAAGGGAGAGATCTTGGATTTGAAGGGAAGGGGTTGTTGAGATGTTTGTGGTGCTTTTTTGTGATTTTGAGAGTTTCCATTTTGGATACAAGAGAGAGCTCATGGAGTCATGGGTATATATATATATATGTTCATATATCAATATTTTTTCATTGAAAAAGTGTATATATATATTGACGGTGGTATGTGGGGAAAAGAAAAGATAAGAAACTTCTTGCATGAAAATGCCTGTTGTTATCGGCACTGGTGATAGAGATGGTTTTGAAAGATTGGTTTCGAACTTGGAACAATGAATTTGTTTAAGCGGTTGTACTAAATTGACCAAGTTGCCCTCATTAATTAACATTTATAAAACGGAGTGTATTTTATGAATAATACTATATGTACCAATTAATGTATTAAGTAGTATACTAACAAATGATGTGACATAATTTTAGAGATTTTGGATATTTGTAATTTGTATAATAGGTAGAGTCAGTAATAATGACGTAATACTAATTGATATACTAGTGTGGACATTAATTGGTGAATGTCGCACCATTGGTATTTTATCAATTGTGTCCCAACTGTTGCTGTCATTTGTTTATTACTTCCTTGTTTGCCATATTTCAAGTTTTTATACTATTGCCCTGGACTTCAGATTATTTTCAATGTTACCCCTTATTTTTAGAAAGGTCACAACAATGTTGGACAAATTATACCTATACCCCCCGTAGTTTGTCTTTTTTGTCGATTTTGTGCTTAGGAGTTTACATTGTATCAGTTTCTCTCTTTAATTTTTCAAACTACTTCAATTTAATCTAATTGATAACATCCGTGAAGAAATTGAACAAAAATCAAGGACAAAATAGTCCATTTGATTTCAGTTATTATAAGAATTAAATTGATATAAGGCATAAATTATAAGGGCTACGAGTGCAATTTGCCCTATAATTTTTGTTAAACCTTTGACAAGAAAAAAAAATGACAAGAAAAAAAAGCAAGGAAAAAGGAATTTTAGTTGCTTCGATATCTAAATGCCTTTTTTTTTCTTTCCTATTTTAATTTACCAACAATTTAGAAAACTAGTTTGGTGAACTATTTTTGAAGCCTATTTTCTAGAAATAACTCACTTTTTAACATCAAAAAATTGTTTTGCAAAATTTAAAAGTTGTTTTTGCAAAAGATGGGTGTTTTCGAAATTTTAATTACTTGTTTTTGAAAACACAAGACAGAAATTAAAAACAAAAATGAAAACACAAGACAAAAATTTAAAAAAAAAAAAAGAAAAAAAAGCAGAAACTGAAAACACAATAAAACATTTACTAGTAATCCTAAGCTCTATCCAACCCCACCCTATACTTGCTACAAATAGTTCATGACTTGCTTCTAACCTAATAAATGGATAGTTGTATAGTGTTTAGCACAATGCATTGAATAGTTTTTGGCAAAGTCCAAGAATAAGTAAGTGATATGGGGTTGGCTTTCTTGTGACCATTTTCGTATTCCTGTGGCTAAGAAGAAGTTTTGCTTTTTTTACTCACCTTTTAAATTATAAAAAATAAACCCTTTAATTTTCTCTTATTAAATTTTCTCTAATAATAAGGTAAGATTTAGAATTGACAGAATTTTCCAATCCTGCCTTTCATTGAAGTAAATTTGGAGTGGAAGCAATTTTTACAACAAATTCAAAATGAACTCGATGAAGAATCTAGTGATCTCAGGGGTCAATTGAAAAATAAAAAATAAATTCGGGTAACAAATTAAATTTACCCAAGTATGAGGGGTTCTATTATAAAATGAAACATTTACATCCAAGTGTCCGTCTTGCATGTACTCCACCAATACAATTGACTTTGAATCTTTCAGATTTAACCAAAAGCTAGAGAGAGAGAGAGAGAGAGTAATGAAATGCCACTTATCTCATTTATTTTTATTTTTATTTTTATTTGTTAATTTAAAAAATAAAAATTCAATTCAAAGTCATAAATGGTGGTGAGGGTGGCTCAGTGAGAATCCAATCTAAAGACTTCGCGGTCCAGACAAATGTTTTGACTTTTTTTTCGTTTCTTTTTTCTTTTTATTTATTTTTTATTTTTTAATCCTTTTATTTATTTATTTCATACTCGGCAAGTGTATCCAAATACAGACTACTAAGTTTGAACGTTTGTAACCCTATTAAAAAAAAAAAACTTTATTAGAGATAAAAAGTAATTTTTGATCATTTTATTGACTTATGTGCCTATATGCAGTATAGCACCACTATGTAGGGTTATTACATCCCCAATGACGTTAGAGAAAAAAAAATATAAATTCATGAGAAAAATTTTATAAATTTAATTATTAATATTTATAAATTTTTTATTAATTTATAATTATTTTTTCTTCGCCTTACTCGTGTGATATTTTCCCCTTTCTTTAAAGGACTCTTTGGTCATTTTTTGTGACAAATTATGGAGATATTCATTTTTTATGTTATTTTATTTATTTATTTATAAGCATTATAATTCCAATAACATCGACTAAAAATAAAACTCTAATACTATTTTTGAATTTTTATTTTTTCATATTTTTTTTTGTCTTTAGTAATTTTTTTATATTTTAATCATATTTTTTACTAATTTATTTATTACTTTTTTTTCAGAATTTTTTTGTCTTTTTTATTTTTTTTTTCATATTTAGTGAATTTGTTTTATATTTCCTTAAAAATAAAACTTTCTAACTGCGTATTGATTAAGTGCATTTAAATTTTTTTTAAAGTAATTAAAATAAGATTTTTTGTTTTTTTACTAAAGGTAACAAAATATGTAAAACAAAAAAATCCAGGTTAGTTTTCAAAACTAAACTAAAACAGATGTTATTCCCAAAATATTTCACAAATATATTATATAAATTAGTAAAGTTACGGTGACTAAATTTTCGATATCATTCAATAAGTTACTAGCGTCGTTATATTAATGGATTGATTTTTTTTTTTTTTTTTTTTACCAATACATTGGTGATATTTAGAATTTAATATTTAAATTTGGTCAACATAACATTATTATAATAGTTAAATATATTTGTTTTGACAATTTACTAGAAAACCTTAGGCAATATTAAAAGAAGTTCTACAAATTTTATTTTTATTTTTGTATAAACAAAATAAGAATGAATATAATGCTAATTTTCCTGACAAATTATATTTAGCTTTATATTATATTTGTTATTTATAAAACCATTTCAGAGTTTTATTAATTTAAGTTATAATAATGTGAATCCGAGTATTTGATGGAGTTGTTTTCCAAAGTGGTCAATACGTACTTTGAAATATTCATGTTTGGCCGCCTTTCTTTTAGTCTTTTAGAAAGGTGTATATTATATTCTAAAAGTTTGAAATATCAATTTTATTAATGGTCCCCCCATTGACTTTTATTTTCCACTTGAATCATTCTAGCTTTGCTTAACACTACAAATGAGTTGAGTTGAACTTTGAGATTTTCAACATCGGCCTAATTGAAATTTTTGTATTTTTTTTTCTGTATAATTAATGGCATTTAAGCTTCATTACAAGTTGGTTGGACCCATGAATTCTAAACTTGAATTAATATATGAGCTAGGAAAATGTTATAGATGTCAAATTTTTTACTAAATAAATAATCAAATATCTCATATGGATATTGAATGGTGTGGGATAGTAAAAAATTTAATATCCCTAACATTACCCTATCAGATATGGTTTTGGTAATGCATAGATGAAACTAGACGTAAATGTGGCAATGTTCATCGAAACAAATTGCAAAATGATTTCTCTGTATGACAGTGCATAGATGAAACTAGACGTAGAAGTTAGACCAACCAACCCATCATAAATTTCAATCTCTTCCCATAAATATGAGTTCCTCTTTTGAATCGCTTTTGAATCTTCCCATACTTTGAGTTCTTATTCTGAATTGTTGCACTCTCATTATGCATGTGACCGCGTTTCTGGCTAGATTCAAATTACCAAAATGCCAAAAACAATCATCAGTGATGTTGTTAGTGTTGAAAAAATTGTATAAAGTATAAAAAATATATTGAAATATGTGAAAGTGTTTTAGAATAAATGAAGAGTATATTCAGATCGTAAATATTTGATATTTAGTCATTTTTATTGACATTTCTTAGAACAGTCATTAGTAAAACCCTACAGATTATAGTGTTATTTGGTACAACTTAATTTTTTTTTTAATTCATATAGTCTTTTCCAATCTATTTGTTACTACAAATTAGAGAAAAAAAAATTGATTATTTAAAAATTATAAAATAAGTATTTTTAGCTTTTTCTTCTAATTGTTAACTTTTAATTTGTGAAAAGGTGCACCAAATAAATCGCTCTACGTTTCTGTCACATATGGCAATTGATGTCTTGTTTGAACATCTATATGACTTCTATTTGATTAGACAGATTATAGCATACAAATAGAATAATTAATTCATGACTCTAATATTTGAAATTTTTGTTATTTAGATTAGATTTTGATACACATTTCACCCAACAAAATTGATGATTTTTTTAATCTACAACTAATAATGCAAAACAAATATATAATTGAGCTTATATATTTACATAATCATTAGAAAACAATTATGAACAAGAGGGGATTATGTTTTGCACTAATTTAATTAAATGGCTAATCTTACACTAATTTTATAAATTATTAATTCTCTAACTATTAATTTTACTAATCAAACAGATCTCTACAAGTCTTACAATGCATATTGTGAACGTATTGAGAAATTTAAGAGGCGTGTGGATTTGTTTATGCGGCTATACCAAATTGACTTATGTTGCTCTCATTAATTAACAATTTAGAAAAAGAATGTATTTTCTCAATTATGCCCCAACTGTTGCTGTCATTTGCTTTTTCACTTCCCTGTTGCCATATTTCATGTTTTTACACCATGGTCCTGAACTTTGGATTATTTTCAATGCTAACTCCTTATTGTTAGAAGGGTCATATAATTTGTGAGAAACTTCTAAAATGAAAAAGAGCAACGAAAAAGGAATTCTAGTTGCTTCGATGGCTAAATAAATTACTAAGGGCCTGTTTGATTGTGTTTTTTCTTTTTTCTTTTTTCTCTCTATTTTATTTTATTTTTTTGCTGAATTATTTTACAAACCTATTAATTTAAAAAAAAATAAATAAATAACTCACTTTTTAGAAAATTCCAATTTTTTTTTTCATTACTTAAGCCCTTAACCCAAGTTGGGATGAACTCCCAATGTTTTAAAAACCGGACCGGTGAGCGAATCAAAAAAGAAATTGGGTGGATGTATCACCGGTTCAACTGTCAGTTCAAAACAGAATGAAACTGTGATGTCATAATTATTTTATAAATGTATTAAAAATTATTTAATAATAATATAAAAATTA